GCGAAAATCCACGAATTACGGTTTGAACTGCTTGACCATCCACCTTACTCACCAGATCTAGCCCCAAGCGACTTCTTTTTGTTCCCTCATCTAAAAATTGCGCTCGGAGGACAGAGATTTTCGTCAAATGAAGAGGCAATCACCTTCGTGAACAATTATTTTGCAGAGAAAAACGCCGAGTACTATTTCGACGGGTTACAGAGATGGGAGCATCGCTGGGAGAAGTGTGTAGATTTACAAGGAGACTATGTTGAAAAATAAAAAACAATTTTCAGAAAAAATGACTTGTATCTTTGTTAGGTCGGAAACTTTTCAGACCACCCTCGTATATGGTCAGATTTTAGGTTAGGTTTTATTATTTTTATTATCATTGTATGCTGTACCAGACGGTTTAGTAAACATATTTAAATATCACTGTAATGCTACTTAGACAATGCGCTCACCAGATAATTTGGTATCATGACTCAATATCTTGTTACACGATTATTCACCATACCGTTTGGTAAACCTAAGTAGAATTTTGGTTAGTATCATCAGACTCATCATTTCCCTCAGTGTATGAAATGAAATTATTTGCATAAAGTTTTTAGTAAACCACTAAAAATTGGTATGGCAAAAATATTTGTGTACTTAATTATTTTTGTTTCTTTTTAAGTTTTTATCTGAAAACTCTTTAAAACTTTTTTTCATAAATTCATGTGGAAAAGGCGGATAATAATAATAATTGCACAGTTGCTGCCGTGCTACTATAGTGGCTTCCCGGAGGGTTAAAAGCCCACAAATTCCGCTTCCTCCAAACCGCATTTAGCTGTCACGTTAACTCTTTCTCCGCCTTGTGATTTAAGATTCAAGAGAGAAGACCTGCGTAGGTCGTCGCAGCCTAAGGCGTGCGCGCGCGCGTTTATAGTGAACGAACAATTATCAACGAGCGGATGCGGAAGCCGCGATTGCGTGACATCATCGCCACGCGCGTGCACAGACATACCGCACATATCGTATGCGCATATCAGAAAGTAATGCTGAATAGCTGAGAGTGCTTCTTATGATACGACGAGCACGTCTTCGCGCAGGATATGAAGCGCGTCAAATCGCGGATTATTCGCGGCCGGTCTCGAGAAAAAACGATCTCGTTAACGCAGCGCGATGAAGTGCGCGCCATTATTGTATTATGATTAAGCGAGCAGACGACAGATAATTGCCGTAAGCGTATGAGGTATTCCACGACGAGAGACGCGGGGGTAAGAACTCGAACGACGTGGCACGCCGGCGCCCGCTCCGCCGGTCTCGCGGTCTAATGGCGACCTGTAATTATCGTTTTATTAGAAATCCGTCGTAAACGGGACTATAATACGTCGTCGAATTTGTTTATAAGCCGAGAGCCCGACAATTACACCGATAAGAACCTGCCTCTCGCTCTGTGCGGCGTCTTTTCCTTCCTTTTCGCCGATAATTTTGCAAGTAGCCGCGAGTTTCCTCTTTCTCTCGCGTCTCTTTTTTTTTGAAATCTCGCTTGATGTAAATCGGATAATTTAAATTTCGAAACACGTCTCTCTTGGCGAACAGCGCCTTCAGCAATTCACGGTACTTTTACTGCGTGCATCTTTTAGTAATTGATAGCTTCACTGTGCGTATAATTTTGGGAAAATATTAAACGTTCGTTTTGACAGCTCGCGTGAGGCAATGGCGATCGTAAAGAGGAGCAATTTCACGCACAAAGGACGCGCGCTCGTTTAGCTTTCTGCTCTATCGGATGAGAAACAACATTATGCGCGCGCGCGCCGGTCTTTTGAATACATTATCGCGCGGTTATCACCTAGCACTGTGAACTAAACCAACACTTTTGCCCGGGTCCCTGCTCCTTAGAGAAAGCTAACGCGCACGTTCTCCTTCGGTGACCAGAGTGGGTTACAATTTCCAGCAACGTAACGCGATTTCTGTTTCCGTTCCTTGGCAATGGCTACCGTGGCGCTGCAATTCCGCCGCATTAGCATAATATTTGTTCTCGAGTTATGGTTTCTACTCAACTGGAGCGAGTAATTCTCTCTTTCTCTCTCTTTCATTTTTTGATCTGTCTAACGGGAGCGCAGAACGAGTTTCCCTGTGGGAAACCAACGAGGAATAATAACGGGGAATCAAATGAGCGTTCGTTTTCACTACCGTTAAACGGTAATTCTACTCTGCACCTTGTAGACACTTTTCTGAACTCCCGCGTGGACAATACTAAGGAAAAATTTGGCGCTAAATCAGTCGCAAGTGTCGAGAACAAATATTTTAGACTAAGTTACTTTTGTTTTAAAACAAGAAAATAATTGCACCTTGAAGATATTTTTTTGAACTCCCACGCGGAGAAAAATTTGATGCGGATGCAGTCACGAGCATTGAGAAAAAAATAGTTTAGACTGAGTATATATATATTTTTTATATAAATATTTTAGACTTATTTTTACTTAAAAAAAAAAGAAATAATGTTTTAAAAGCACAATATTAATTGGGTACTTGGAAGAGATTTGCGTCAGCCAAGTTAAATGAACATAATTGATTTCGCTCTGCAAATCACCGTCGACACTAATGATTACGATCGTCCTCATCAATGAGGGAGCTTATGCGATTTTTCAACGCAGAAAATTCGCAGATACAACGGCCTTCGTGTTCGCGACTAATCCGTCCTCTTTTCCGCGCTCGACGCGACTCGACAACTTCGCCGCTCGAGGATCCTGAAAGCAGCGTGGAGTGACAGTTGCTTTAAATCCACTTTGAGTGCACTTAACAGAGCAAACAAGAGGGGCAAGAGCAGCAAGTCCCGGCGGTAATCCTCGCGGAATTACATAACCGATAACTCTGAATGACGTGACGAAAAGTGCCTTTTAATGGTCAAGTTATCGACATCTCTCCTCGGCGCGCACCGAGCTGGATGAAGCGTAATATAAGTGAGTTCAAGTCGCGTGTTGTACGAGGAGAGCGTCGATCTCGGCGTGGACCTTCTTATCGACAACCTTCTCGCTGCTCTCGCATCCATCTGTTACATTTTACCCGAAGAAAAGAAGTAATTGAATGAGATAGATGACTGATTGACTTCACGACTTCTTTCATCAACGATCGATACATCACAATGTCATCCCGGGACAGTCGTGGATAATTTGTCACTGGCCGCGTCATATCCGAAGGAGAACCAGCTGGCGTCACGGGGAATTCTTCGATTACGTTTGTCCCAGATCGACTGTTACGCTACACGTTACCGGCATGCTCGAACACCTCGATTGCGAAACGATCCGTTTGTTACGGTTCATTGCACCGCCCCCAAGACGATCCCGCTTATCGATTAGAATGCAACATTTCGCGTCCTCGAGAGTTCAACTTGGACCTTTTGCTCAAATCGAACTTTCCCGCGAATGATATTTTCTTTTTGCCTCTTTAGATGGCTTTAAACACGGGGGGAATATTTAAAATCATATTTCTTCTTACAATATTTTTTGTAAAGCCAACTGAAACTGTTGGATAAAAATTGCTGTAGAAATAATAAATTCGATTGATTTACCTAACATGATATAAAAAAATTATTTAAATAATTACAATAATTTTGTAGTAAAAAATCAAATGTATATAATATTTTTTAACAAATATGTTGTAATTTCGTTCACAATTCTGTATGATCCAAGACAACAGACAATTTATTATTATGTATATGTATAAAATAGAATGTCGATCTATATTTTCTATACCTCCTAAACTGACCGATCTAGACTAAATTTTGCATAATTATTCTCTAAAAGTTT